AATTTTCATATATTATTTTCTATTTTTCGTAATAAAATATGGGAAATTTTTCTGTTTATCTTTACGCCTTATGTATATGTATGTTTTTCTCTTAAGTTTATTCTTGATGATAGTTTTCTATACTTAAGCTTTCCTCCATAGTCTTTCCTACGTATATTATGAGATTTTCTGATAGCCTAATATAATTGTTTTTTCACACTAATATACGATTTTCTACAAAAACTTTATATAGATAAAAAGTAGACCATCATTGTAATTAAGCATATTTTTGGCTCACTGTTTATCCAGTAAAATAAAATTAATTATGTATGTGATATGTGATATTGATCTAAGGTAAATGTTAGAATAAATTTAAGAGAGCTAAACTAATTACTTATTTACATTAATTTTATGTTTGTTCCTTGGAAGTTTACTAATATCGTTTACTAACCATTTTTTAAATTAGATTAAGGCGAAACGACTTTCTAAGCTTGCTGATGATCCTGATCATTTTTACTATTTAATAAAATTAATTTATCCCTGATTCCCCTCGTCTTTTATATGACTCAAAATAATGCATTTATAAAATTGTATTGCCTTTAGAATAAACTTTCTTTTCAATAAGCTGAGTAGATACTTCAAACTACATCCCTATCGTCAATTGTTTTGCTTTCACAATCCTACTATAGATATCTCGCCTGCTTACTCAAATGAAACGTGTTCTCGTGTATACCCAGTATTTCCTTAGGCTACTTTAAAGTGGGAGATATCATCATGGTCAAATCTTTATTTGACCAATTACCCACATAGCTCCATTGTTTATAAACAATTTATGTATTTAATATAAATGCATCTCTTCTAGAGTCACTTTTTTATATAAATACGACTTTCGTTTAACCTAACTTTTAATATAGAATATTACTTACATCCATAGCACCTTATAAAATAATATCCCTAGTTTCAGATAGAAGTATTCCCTCCTATAGATGGATTACGTGATTAGTTATTTTATCCAGATGGGGAGTAAGCTGAAGTATAGGGTTTCCCTAGTTCATTTTGGAATTAAAGCTCCAATAAGCCAACTTCTATTTTGCCCTCTTTGCAGAATGAACCTAGTAAAGGATGTTGAGCTCAATAAGTGATTTAGACGTTCATGGAAATGTGCTCCGCTTCGCGCTACTGCATAGAGTACCCCGAACTTTTATAGATGAACACGAAAACGATTTACTGAGTACTTTGCACAAAACAAGAAACTTTACAGACGAGAATTTAGATTGGGACATTAAAGACGATGGCAGAGTGTGGTGTTGATGCAAAAGCAGTGTTTAGTCACATTGGGTCAAAAGGACACAAGGGGAGCGACAGAGAATAGTCCCTAGTCTAAGAAATTTTTAGGTTAAAATATTATTGTGTATCTTTGATTTCATATTCGGATTGGTTCAACCGGGGGGCTTGAGTGTGGTGATCAGGCTCGCTTAGTCCTTGTGGGACAGTACAGATGAGTCATATATCGAATGGTGTTGCATTAGTCGAAGACGACTCCTTATTAGCTGGTTGTGACGATAGATGTAGAAAAACTTACTGTAAACTAATATATACTAAAATTTATTTAAATTCATAAAGGATATATTAAGTATACTTAGGGTGCTTAACTAATTTTCTCAGACTAAATATTTCTCTAATTCTTTAGTTTGAAGTCATTACTTATATGTGTCAAGACTACCAAATATCCATATATATTATTATTTTGTGCTGCTTTCTTAATACTTAGTTAATTTCTATTCATAGCCCTACCAAAATAAGCTTATTTTATCTTTCTACTAATGTTTTTTCAACATTTCATATTAAATTATCATAGTTCTGCTATTCATATTTCATTAAATATGTTATGTTGCAGCTTGAATTCATTTTGTTCTTGCAGAGGATCCACAAAAATTTCTTCTCTTCCATTTAAATGAACTAAAGGAGGCAAGGGATTCCGGAGGAAAACATGTTTCGTTGTTTACGACTGAAAATGCGGAATCAATTTTCGATATGCTAGATGCAGCAGAAAGTGGATTTATTTCATACAAAGATTATTGTCATGCTTTGGAAACATTAGGTATCAATCAATATGATAAAGAGCCTGCTGGCTTTAGAGAAAATAGAATTACAAAAACAGTTTATTCACTTGAAGCGTAAGTCTCTATATGAGATTTTGACTTATTGACCTATAAGCTATTTGTAGTCTTCTATAAGTAATCTTGCGTTTGCATCTCAGATTTTTCCTTGGTCTAAGAGCTTAGAATTCCGGCTCGACTAAGTTCTTCACTAATAAAACTAATGAAAATTTACTAAATATTTGCAATTACTTTCCAACAGTTAGCATGGTATAAGCATTTATGGTATGCTTTAGTCACTCCATTTTCACATAAAGGTTGTTTTTCATACAAAGTTGCATTTGCTCACAGTTGTGGTATATTTCAGTTTTTAGTTTGACCCCAAACTATTTTTTACTGTGTTTAGCAATGAAATCATAATACCTTTGTCAGAAAGCATCTCAAAATGATATCGTTAGTAAATTTCATATTGGAAAGTAAACTATTGTATCCAGGACTATGAAAAAATGGTTTCATTCATTCTATAATCTTGAATATTTTAAACTCTATTTAACTTTATAAAGTACTTTATCACGTAATAATTGGTGAGTTGAACCCACTTGTGCGCTTGGAAAGTAGTATTTATGTGGGATCGTATTATCATGTTCCCTCAAAAATAAAGCCCATTAGCAGAACTACTCTAGTTAATTTGCTCTTTTCTTACTCGAAGTCTTGATGGCGCGAAGAGACTACAATTTAAAAAATGTTTGAATGTAATACATTTGATATTCATGGTGCTATCTATTACTATTGTCATCGTATGGCTTCAGTGAAACAGTATTTAATGAATAGTGAAATTAACTCTGCGAAGAAAAGTTGGGTTTCAAGGAATCTCTTGTTTCATTAATGTTGAGCTTACTTCCATTTCAAGTTAAAATATTTGGTCAAGAGCTTAGAAGGTCGATTCCATCAGGAGACGACGGCGGGTTCCTCTTAATCGGCTGTCGATTGGCTTTACTGGGACATTTATTTTGACGCTGTTTCCGGGGTACCTCCTTCGCCCGGCATATGACGAACATCATCAGAGCAAGGTACCATCCTTACAATTAACTTCAAGCTAACGAATCACGAAAACTCACCGTCACATCCCTAAAAGCTGTATATATACTCTATGTCTGACCTCTTTGATGAGGTATAGTGATTTGGTCACTTCTTTGTACTTTTAGCCCACTTTTCCTCTCGCTTGAAGACAAAAAAAGTTCCTTAACATAACCAGACATGTGTCCGACCTGGCGCAATCGTAGTGATAGGTATAACATAGAATTAGAAAGAGATAGGGAGAGAGATTAAACCTTGATGACCGAGAGTTGACGTTACTTTTGCTGTCCTAATTACTTTGAACCATCACTGCTGGTTTCGAGCATATGCAAACACAGGTACATACACATACAGAGACAGACACACTAACATGCTTCGAGGCTGAAATATGATTAGAACTAAGCAAAACACTTTAGACCTCACCAAAGAGGTTAGACATATACTATATATACAGCTTTTTAGAGATGTGTTGGTAAGTTTTCTTGACTAGCTAGCTTGAATTTGGTTGTGAAGATAATACTCTCTCTCTGATGATATTCGTCTTATGACGAACGGAAGCTTAGCACGTTTTCACCGGAATCGAAGGAGATTACCTCATAAGCCTCGTCAACATGAATGTTCCAGTAAAGCTAATTGACAGCTTGTCAAGTGGAATCCGCCCTAGTCTTCTGATGGAATTGACCTTCGAATCTCTTCACCACACACTTTTACTCGAAATAAAAATAAGTTAAATAATTAACTCTGCTTATTACAAGTCTTGTAATAACATAATTCATGAGCCATGGGTTATCCTAGTATTATTTTCGTTTGAATACCAATCATTTAAAATGGTCATTTCTTTAAATCCAATTTTGCAATTTTTATATACTTTGGGCTTGAATAGAATAAGTCTTGAAGGCTAGAGCCTTCAAGATAATTCATATTTCAGCACAGGTAGACTTATTGAAATACCGACCCCTATAGATAACTAATACTTGAAGTATATATTTATGCAATCCATTATGCAAAATCGTTGAGGAATTTCAGTCGTTAATCTGTGCGATGTTTGAGATTTCGCTTATCCTTGTTGAAATCAAAGAACGATCAATGCTAATTCAATACGAGCTTCAAAGTAAATAAAAGTAATGCAAGTGTTGATCTTTGGCTTTGAAACCAATAACTTTGAATGTATTAAGAAAGTGGCGACAAAGTAGTACTGCTTTGTAATATGTTATCGTCATTATTACCAAATTATCTCTTTTTTTTGCGATTGGTATAATATTGCAGAATATTATTCTTAAAAAATTATGTACCTTAAATCATTTATTTTTAATTTAGCATGTAAACCATTTTCATATCGTTCTTCCTTATTCTTTTAGACCTCAAGGTAGTTAGCACACATAAATTAATTACTCTCGTCACCCTTAGAGCAAAATATCAGGTGTTTGATTTTCAAAGAGATCATATATATAACCGCTGACAGAGGGAAATTATTAAAAGATTTCATAATAACCCACATGAGGT